CAGTTTTCTAAATTATATTCTCAACCTTTAAAAAATATATTCTAATAGTTAAAATTTTTTAAAAGCAAGAAACTTTTTTAAAAAAATTTTTTTATAAAAGAAATTATATATAAAAAAATTTTTTGTTATTAGAAATTATATAAAAAGTATAAAATATTTTTTGATCAAAATTATTTAAATAAAAATTTTAAACAAAACAAATATAATTAAAAAGGAATTTTAATATTATACTATAGTTAAATATTAGTAAATCTATATAATTTTTAACTTTTTAATATTAAAACCATTGTATTATTTATATAATATAATTATTTATGAATTATTTTATTATAAAAAAACTAATTTATTAAATTGTTTTATAATATTAATTATTTAAAATCCTTTAAAATTCTTTAATTTTATAAATATAATTAAACATTGTATTTTATATTTTATTTAAAATACTGTGTAATAATTGATTTGTATTTATAATTATTGTTTTGATATACTGTAAATTTTTTAATTGGATATACAGTATAAAAAACACTTGTTATGCTATACAATTTAGATATTTATTGTTAGTAAATATAAATATAATTATATATTTGTTTTTAGAAAATTTTTTTATAGTTTAAAAAAATTAAAGAAAATATATTAGTAAATAAAACTCTTTTAAATTAATCTTTAATTTAAATATTTGTAATTAAAATATATTCATTTTTATTATTTTATTGTTACTTAAAAATATTGATAATATATTTATAATAAGACTTATCTTTTTTACAATGAAATTAAATAATTATTTTTTAGAAAATCTTAATCCTTAAATATATATATGTGTGTATGTTTTTAATATATTGTTTTTTAACAAAATATTTTTATTTTTAATTTATAAATAAACTTTTCTTATATTTGATTGCAAAAATATAAAAAGTTTATTTTTTGAAAAAAAAAAACAAATAAAAAAAAGACTAAAATATTTAAATAATAACATTATTAAGAAAAATATATACATAATTATAAAAAAATAATACATATTAATCATATTTAACAAATTATATTTTGAAAAAAAGACACTTATAATTTTTAAATATTTTTTTTTACTACAGTATAAAAAATTCCAAACTTTTTAAAATAATACATAACACAACAATTATATTGTATTACAAAAATATATGGTATTATATTTATTATAATTAATAGTAATATCATTTCTTTAAAAAAAAAACAATTTTTTAACATATTTATTATACACGGATATATCCAATTTTCAAAAAATATATTTTCAAATCTAATGTCCTATTATGAAAATATTTTTTTAAAAAAATAATAATGTAAATGTACAGTACAGTATACTTTGTGATTATTATTTTTTTACAATAGTCTCAAAAACAATATACAGATTTTTTCTCTATGTACAATATGAACAAATATAAATATAAAGTAATATTAGGTATTTAAAAAAGAATCAAGTAATAATAATATTATTATTATTACATAAATTATGTTACAAATAATATACAGTGACATAAATTAAGGTGCTTAAAGTTGATCGAACAAATACGTTAATGTAAACGGCTGTTGTATGGTAAAGATATGGTCATGATATATAAAGAGATATTCGGTCAAAAGTTAACCCACGCAGTATTATTTATAGCCAACGATTATGTATTCGACAATTTATCCAAGACCAAAAGAAAACGATGGAATATTTAGAAAATGAGGTACCATGTTTGCATATTCCGGTAAGCCGAACAGGTCTAAACAGGTGCTTTTGTTAAAAACCAATATGAATATGAATGCGCGCATATACAGAGCGTACAAGAAACTTAATAAGGAATGATGACGTCACATTCGTTTGTCGAAAAAGGGAAACTCGTATGAGCGTACTTGTATAAATAACATCAAATTTATTTGAATTGTTCCAATCTGTTTTAACGACGTAAACCTCGGATAACCATTCGCGAATTTTTACAATGCTTGGTGATGAGGACTACAATACAACAATGGATCGGGATTATGTTGAAGAAGACACTATAGTAAAAAAAAGAGATGATGATAATTTTGTTGAAGATGCAAAAGCCAAAAAAAGAGATGCTGCTGCTGATGAGATATACGAGATTCCAAGCGGCGCCGAGGAAATGTTAGCGTATTCAATTGATATGATGAGCAACGCAGCGGATGCGATAAAACCGTTCCTACCATTCATTGACATAATTACGGGCGTTTCAAGAGCCGTCCTTATTACATACGAGAGTTCACAGTATAACCGGAGGACATGTGCTGCCTTGCTTACTCGTGTTGAAATTGCAGAATGCGCAGTGAAATCTTTGATTCGCCAAAAAGAGGAACGATTGAAGGATTTTCGGAGTCAGAACTTTTACAAATCGTTTGTGAGATTCACCAGGGTTATGGAAAAGATTCAAAAATTCGTTGAAAACATCTCTCAACTTTCTAAATTTAGAAGGTTCATTAGTAACATATCGATTAAAGAAAATTTGAGCGCAATATTATACGATTTTGACGCATGTTCTAACGATTTGCAACTATCGATTTCGATCAATATCAAAGAGCAAACTGAAAAGGACATGGTCATCCTCCAAAATGATCTTGAACAGATGACCCAGGTATAATCACTCCACCATTTGGCATTGTTTCCAAACAAATAGAAGCAACTAATGCGTAACTTCCCAAATCCTAGTTTTTAGAAAACATAGACCTTCACGTGACGGACATCATGAAGAAAGTGGATTTCAGTCAAGAATATAATGAGAAAATCATGACTTTGCTCACCAACACATACGAACAAGTTA